CCCTAAAGTTTCTTTCTGCTACACTAGTGGCCGAGGGTTTATGCTAGGGTTTAGGGTTTAGGGTTTGTGACTCAGAGCCGGCGGCTTCTGCTACCACCCAAGGAGGGTTTGAAGAAACCAGCAGAAAACGGTGAGCGTACACTCTAAACCCCAAACCCTCAGAGTACAGAGCAGCACCTACACAAGCGAGGATTTATGTCTATGCTGGGGGTTAGGGTTTAGGGTTTAGGGTTTAGGGTTTGTGCGAGCTGCAGGCCCTTCAATACTTTTCATCCACCGGAGAAGCGGCACGAACCCTCACCAGCTCCTGAGACCAAAGGTAGGGTTTAGGGTTTAGCCAAACCGCTAATTGGGGTTTAGGGTTTGTGAGATATTTGCTGCTCTCAACCCTAAACCCTAAACCGTAAACCCTCCTCTTTTGACCACTATGCCTTCCTAAGCAGTGTGTAACTGTAAACCCTAAACCCTAAACCCTATTCTATCAGCACAATATCTTTCCTTTGTCTGTTTGTGTGCTGCAGCGCGGCCCGCCCCTAAGCTGTACGTCAAACTCAAAACCCTAAACCCTAAACCCTAAACCCTAGCACTTTAAAAAAACCAACAGGTCTTGTACCAATCACTGCGCACAGACGAAGCTGTCTTCTACCTCTCCTCCCCCCCGTTGTTGTTTTAGGGCGGTAGGATTCCTAACGGCATCAGCCTGCTGCTGCTGCTGCTGCTGCTGCTTGTGCTGCTGCTGCTGCTGCTGCTGCTGCTATTTCAGGGTTTTGCGGGTCCGCCGTCGGTATTGTACAACAAGCACTTTTGCTTACGGGGACTTCTGACTCTCCCAATAAACCCTAAACCCTAAACCCTAGGGCGAGCTAACCCTAACGCTCCTGCGGAGGGGCGTTCAGGTCAGGGGATAGCTGCTGCTGCTGCAGCAGCAGCAGCTGCTGCTGCTGCTGCAGTTGCTGCAAGTGGCGAAGGCGCTGCAGCTCCTTTAGTATAAAGAACGACTGCAGAAACGCACATTAAACAATGGGATACATCATTTGAGGTGGTTTAGGGTTTAGGGTTTAGGTGTTTTAGGGTTTAGGGTTTGTTCGCAGCAGCTGGAAGAAGAAGAGGGTTTATTGATGTTTAGGGTTTAGGGTTTTGAATAGTTTTGTTGAGCACGTCCCAACGGCCAGGAGGGTTTAGGGTTTAGCGTTTTGGGGGTTTTCTCCTCGAGGGTCTGCCTGCCCCCACACTTAGGGTTTAGTGAGGGTTTAGGGTTTAGGGTTTATTACGAGGATAAGTCTGCATTCCTTTGGACTTCCTGCCGGGAAATCAAACTCCCTCGCATCACTTAGCGCCTCTGCTACCAAACAAACGAAGACGCCGCAGTCCTCGAGGGTTTGCTGCTGGGGCGAGTCGCGCTGTACGTACACCGTAGACACGAGGGTTTAGGGTTTAGGGTTTAGGGCTGAGGGTTCAGGGTTCATGCAAATGCTATTCGACATCGACAAACGCACATCAAAACCAAACCCTAAACACTAAACCCTAAACCCTAAACCCTACCTCTGCCAGCCTTCGCCTGTTCACCCGAAAAGCCTCAGTTAGGGGCGCTCCTGAACAAAACAAACAAGGGTTTAGGGTTTAAAGTTTACGCTGCTGGGAGCTAGTAGCAACCGAGAATAAGCTGCAGCAACAGCAGCAGCTGCTGCAGTAGCAGCAAAAAAAGCACATGGATACAAAAGCAGCACATATAGGCAAGCAGCAACACCAACATCTGCAGCAGTAGCAGCAGCAACACCAACAACAGCAGCAGCAGCAGCACCAACAACAACAACAGCAGCAGCAGCAACACCAACACCAGCAGCAGTAACGGCAGCAGCAGCAAGAGCAGCAGCAGAAGCAGCAGGAGCAGCAGCAGGAGCAGCAGCAGGAGCAGCAGCAGGAGCAGTAGCAGCAGGAGCAGCAGCAGGAGCAGTAGCAGCAGGAGCAGGAGCAACAGCAGCAGTAGCAGCAGCAGGAGCAGCATCAGCAGCAGGAAGCACCCCTTTTGTGAATATGTTCTTGCTGAAGATAATTTTGCATGCGCTCAAACCACTCCGACCAAACAGCCCCCACAAACCCCGAGTCGTATATCCGCAGCCGCCGCCGTCCAGCCCTAAACCCCAAAACCCTAAACCCTAAACCCTAAACCCTAAACACAGAGTTTGGCGTAGCGCCCGGCTTCGCCTTCATGCAGGATTTGTGAAATAGGGTTTAGGGGCATTTGATGCTACGGAGTTTATTTGCTGGCAGCGTTGCAGAGTCAAGAGGGTTTAGGGTTTAGGGTTTAGGGTTTACCGGAAGTCTACAACCCCCAGCGCCCAGTGCTGCTGCTCTTTGTGGTGTACAGGCAGCAGCAGCAAATCGTAGGCAAACAAATCCACTTTCTTCGTCCACCTCTAAACCACACAAACCCTAAACCCTAAACCCTAAACCCTAAACCCTAGAAGTTTATTCAGCGGAACCGTGATGCTAAACCCTCAGCTGAAAGACTGCCACCTCCCAATGCAAACAAATTAGGGTTTCTGGTCAGCCTAGGGTTTAGGGTTTAGGGTTTAGGATTTGACTCACGCTGACGCCCTCAAAGGAAGCTACCTTTAGCCTCTCATCAAAAAAAGAGTTGAAGAAATGACACTTGGGGACTCTGCGCACCAAGCCCTAAACCCTAAACCCTAAACCCTAAACCCTAAACCCGAAAGCGGATTAAATAATCTCGGGGAGAAGGGCTTGTAGATAAATAAAAAGCAAACACCTACATGTCGCCTCTTGCCAGTGACTCGTCGTTGCGCCTCTGCAATGCACACGCAAACCCTAAACCCTAAACCCTAAACCCTAAACCCTAAAACCTAGTGAATGATACCGGGCGTGGAAAGGCAGCAGGAACATCTGTTTTTAGGGTTTAGGGTTTAGCGCCTGAAGAGCGGAAGGGAAGTAGAGGGTTTAAGATTTATGGTTTCATCGATTGCTGTTAGGGTTTAGGGTTTAGGGTTTAGGACCTGAAGGATGGAGAAGAAGAAGTTTATGACTTCATCATTCAGCTTCCTGTTGATGCGCAGCAACGCCATCGACTCCCTGAACAACCCAAACCCTAAAACCTAAACCCTAAACCCTAAACCCTAGAAGCTCATTCATGCATAATACCCGTCCTCCGCTGCTAGAAGCAACCGTGCATTCAGCTACCCGGAAGTTAGGGTTTAGGGTTTAGGGTTTAGGGTTTACGGCGACAGAAGAGGCGTGGCCAGGAGGCGGTGTTGAAAAGCGTCTCCCATGAAGGCTGCCGCTTCTCTCCTGTCTCCTGATTGCAACACAAAAGGGTTTAGGGTTTAGGGTTTTGTTAGGGTTTAGGGTTTTGTTAGGGTTTAGGGCAGTAAGGGTTTATTATTTAGGGTTTAGGGTTGTAGGGCTTGAGCTTTGGCGGCTGGGGCTTAGCGCATTAGGGTTAATAGCACAAAGTACGAGATTTTAGGGTATTAGGGTTTAGAGAATTAGGGTTTAGGGTTTAGGGTTTGACGCTCACTATCGTTCATGAAGCGAGGAAGACGCAGCGAATGGATAGAAGCAGCCCTTCGCCTGCAAAGCTCCACGCCTCTGCTGCTGCCGCTGCTGCTGCTGCTGCTGTGCAGCATACCTGCTGCTGCTGCTGATGCTGCTGCTGATGCTGCTGCTGCTGCTGCTGCTGCTCTGTCTCTGGGTCTGGCAAGCGACGGCGGGGGATCAAAGGGGGCAGCAGCAGCAGCAGCAGCGTCTGCTGCTGTGATCTCTCCTGCTGCTGCTAAAGCATTTAGTGCTGCTGCTGCTGCTGCTGCTGCTCTCCGACGAGGCCGTTGCCAGTGCTCCACCCAATCGTCCTAAACGCAAACCCTAAACCCTAAACCCTAAACCCTAAACCCTAGCTCTCCCAATTGAAACTCCTAGGCCCACGACCCTCCGCAATAATGAAGAAGAAATAAGCACAGTCTACAACAATTAGGGTTTAGGGTTTAGGGTTTCGCACATCACTACTCTCAACCTCAATCACTTCCACTGCCTTATCATCGTCAGCAGCAGCAGCAGCAGCATCAGCAGCAGCAGCGGCTACTGCTGCTGATGGTGTAAGACTCGGCTCTTGTGCGTCCGCTGCTGCTGCTCCCTCTGCCGCTGCTGCTCCCGCTGCTGCTTCTGCATCAGCTGCTGCCGCTGGTGGTGGTGGTGGTGCTGCTGCTGCTGCAGCACTTGCTGCTGCTCTTGGAGGGTCTCCATCCGCAGGCTCGAAGCGGCAAGAAACTTCTGCTGCTGCTGCTTCTGTTGCTACTGCTGGTGCTGCTTCTGTTGCTGCTGCTGCTACTGCTGGTGCTGCTTCTGTTGCTGCTGCTGCTGCTGCTGGTTCTGCTTCAGCAGCAGTGGCCGGATGCATGCAGAAAGCAGCAGAAGCCTCATTGTACTCCGCTGCAGCAGCACCTCTTCCTGCTGCTGGTCCTGCTGCTGCTGATCCTTGGGGGTATAACCCCAGGCATTTGTCTCCTTCTACCGCAGCAGCAGCAGCAGAAGCAGCAGCAGCAGCAGCTGATGCAGTTTCTGACGGGTGCCATACAACGTCTGCTGCAGCTGGTGCAGCATCTATTTGCTGCTGTCTGTCCTCATAGTTCGGAGCAGCAGCAGCAGCAGAAGCAGCAGCAAAAGGAGTATACCCACAAGATCTCGCCCTTGTCGTTAATATGCCTCCTTCCACTGCTGCTGCTGCTGCTGCTGCTGCTGCTGCTGCAGGTGCTGCTCCTCCTGCTACTGCTCCTGCTGCTGCTGTTGCTGCTGCTGTTGCTGCAGCTGCTATCCTTTTTACTGAGCGGCCTAAATTGCTTTGAGGAGACAAACGCTTGCCCAGCTGTGGCTGCTGCTGCTGCTGCTGATGTTGTTGTTGCTCTTGCAGCAGCATCAGCGGCTGCTGCTGCTGCAGCAGCAGCAAATAGCTGTCTGGCGCCGCTTGTTCATTGTGGTCCCCCTGCTGCTGCAGGCTGCTTTCCGTCACCTGCTGTTGCTGCTGCAGCAGCAGCTGTTGTCCCTGCTGCTGCTGCTGCAGCAGCTGTTGCTCCTGCTGCAGCAGCAGCAGCTGTTGCTCCTGTTGCTGAAGCAGCAGCTGATGCTCCTCCTGCTGCTGCAGCAGCTGCTGCTCCTGCTGCTGCTGATGCTGCTGCTGCTGCAGCTGCTGCTGCTGCTGCTGCTGCATGCATCTGGGGGGGGTGTCTGTACACCCGAGGGTCTTCTCCCTCTCCATTTAGTTGAGGGGTTTCAAACCCCAGCTGTGTGTCTTCTGCATTGTCTCTAAACCCTATTAAACCCTAAACCCTAAACCCTAAACCCTAGAACATTCATTATGAGGGTTTAGGGTTTAGGGTTTAGGGTTTGCAAAGCTACTCTCCAGCCAACTTGCATGCAGCCCCAAATGCATGCAGCTGCTGTCTTTCTCTGCTTCTCTTCAACAATAAAATTAATATTTTTATATTTATTTTGTTTTAATAGCAGCAAAATGACTCGGCATTAAAATAACCCTAAACCCTAAACCCTAACAACAAACTGGCTGCAGAAGAAACCCTAAACCCTAAACCCTATTGCAAACCCTAAAGCCTAAACACTATCGCAATCCCTAAACCCTAGCTAACGCTAAACCCTAGCTAACCCTAAACCCTAGCCAGACTAAACCCTAGCTATGCCTAAGCCCTAGGTAGCCCTAAACCCTAGCTTGCCCTTAACCTTATTTAGTCCTAAACCCTAGCTAGCCCTAAACCCTAGCTAACCTTAAACCCTAGCTAGCCTAAACCCTCGCCGCTCCCTCTCAGCCTTTTATCAAACCCCCAGAGAAACCCCAGCCAAGCGGAAGTTGCAGCCATACTAGCTAGCTGTAGCTAGCTAGCTATAGCTAGCTGTAGCTAGCTGTAGCTAGCTGTAGCTAGCTGTAGCTACTTTGAGCTAGCGAAGCTTCTTTGAGTGCCCCAACAGAGAAGGCTCAGTAGGCACTAACAGCCTCGTTCGCTCCTCTTAGGGTTTAGGGTTTAGGGTTTAGGGTTTAGGGTTTACGGACCCACGGAAAAGAGGAAACGCCAGGCACCTGTGTTGAGGGTTTAGGGTTTAGGGTTTAGCAGCAAGTGGAGCTCAATGTAGCAGCAAAGAAGGCAGTGCATGCGACAAGCCAGCCCCATTCTCTCTGCTGCTGCTGCTTGCTGCCTGCCTTCTGCTCAAGCTAGGGTTTAGGGTTTAGGGTTTAGGGTTAAAGCAGCAGCTGCTGCTGAAGCAACATCTTCACAGAGGCGGGGATTGCTGCTGCTTACTGCAGCAGCAAACCCGACCACAAAACCCTAAACCCTAAACCCTAAACCCTAAACCCTTCCTCTCCTACCGCAATGAAACACTGCAAGCCTTAACGGGAACACTAAACCCTAAACCCTAAAACTCTAAACCCTAAACCCTAAACCCTAAACCCTAAACCCTAAACCCTAAAGCCTTAGATCTAACGGAATAGTCTTTGCAAGACTGGCAGCGCTACACGCCGCCACTCCTCAGGGAAGACCCTGTAGCCTTTTTCATTGTTATTGCTGCTGCTGCTGCTGCAGCTGCTGCAGCCGCTGCTGCAGCTGCTGCTGCTGCTGCTGCTGCTGCTGCAGCTCTCCCTAGCACGCTCCGCTTGCAGCCGCAAGTCGAAGAGCAGACAGCCAGAAGGGGGGAAGCCTGCCAGTGCAAAGCGCTGCTGCTGCTGCTGCTGCTCTTGCTGCTGCTCTTGCTGCTGCTCTTGCTGCTGCTCTTGCTGCTGCACCCGGTCAGCATCATCTGTTGCGTCCAGGCTGCTGCTGCTGCTGCTGCCGCAAGAGAAGTAGGGGAGAGTCATGCTGCTGCTTGCTGTTAAGTATGCCCCGCTGCTGTCGCTTCTAGGGCTGCTGCAGTTGCTGCTGCAGTTGCTGCTGCTGCTGCTGCAGTGCAGCAGCAGGTTGAAGCCGGGCCCCACACACTGCAGCAGCGACGGATGCTGCTGCAGCTGCGTACATACACCCGAATCAAACCTCTCTGGAAACCCCCGCAAGAGGCAAACGAGCCTGAACAACAACAGCGCAAAACCCTAAACCCTAAACCCTAAACCCTAAACCCTCAACCCTACAGCCTTAGGCCTACAAGCGCCTTCCCCACACGCCAAAAAAGGCACACGCACAAGACGAGGGTTTAGTTAGGGTTTAGGGTTTAGGGTTTAGGGTTTAGGGTTACATGTTGGCGAGCTCCTTAGCCGTTGAGAATTGCTGCCATTCAGGGAGAATCTGTGCGCAACAAATAAACCCTAAACCCTAAACCCTAAACCCTAAACCCTACCAACCTGAACCCTCGAAACCTTGACGAGATAATGAGGAGGGTATACAGCACGCTGTCTTCCTTTAGGGTTTAGGGTTTAGGGTTTAATGTGCTGTGTGCTGCTCGCGTGGGCGTTGCCCGGAAGGGTTTGCGGCTGCTGCACATCGTCTAGGGTTT